TGATGTCAGGCGAAGGAGTTCAGCCTTAAACTTGGTGTAGGGAGCATCAGTCAGGATATCTCGCAAAAGTGTCTGCACTTGAGAAAGAATGGTAGGAGGAAGGGCCTCGACCAACTTGTCGATTTCACGCGTTATCTTGGCGGAATGAAATTTCGCCTCAATACGGAAAAAATAAAGTTCTGCCGCATGTTGCCAAAAGTCTGGGAGAGAAGAAACAAGTTCACTGAGAGAAATAGTGGCATCGTTGGAATTTATAGAGGTCATGATGGTAGAAAGAAAGAAGACAAACGGACTGTATGAAAATAGAAAGTCAACAAATTAAAGGTATAAGCGTGAACGTCAAAAGGTCACCGTTTTCGCGAGCGTTAAGGACAGAACTGTCAATCCCAGACTATGGATATCAGGATAAGGTCATAGTTATCAAAGAATTAACAATCAAATGTCAAACAACCTGACAATCCAACAGATGCCGAGCGCGTCGCGTCGTGTTGTGTTCCTTTCATCCAGTTAAACAACCAGTAAGTTCAAGAATGAGGAACAGGTAGGGAAAGGAAAGATAGTCTGGCGCCTCGGCACAGTGTACCGGCAATAGCATAAAAGCGGTACCGAAACCTCCGATGAAGGCAGACCGATTTCTACGTAATACGACCTAAGCGATAATATGAAAATTGTACCTGCCGCAGGAGCCACCTCACTTGCTCTTCTTAAGGGGCAATATGGGACTCCTCTTGTGCCAAGAGGCGATATAGCTAGGTCAGCCACGTGTCCTCTCAGCTATTTTTAGGGCCCTATAGAGCATTTTATTGAGTACGAAGAAAGGAACTCATGGCTAGGGAAATGCAAAACAACACAACAGACGTCTGAAATCAAAATCAACAATGGTGGGTACCTCGGGACCATAAGTTGACAGCAAATAATTGAACCCAATCGACAATTCCGAAAGTCGTCCTCGTCGCTATAAATAGAATTCCCCAGAAAGCCAAAAAGGGCGCCGAGACCGCCAATAGTGCCTAGTTTTTGGGCTTGTCCTAATCAAGTGCAGTAAAACTTGAAAACTGTGTCTCAGGGGTATTACCTAACTGATTTCTTTAATCATACGTGGAAATAATAGTTCTCAAGGAATTCCAGACCATGAAGAGGAAATAAAGGTTGGACAAGAACATTGCTACACCGCCCACTCAAAATCATGCTGGAGAATGAAGATCAAGTCAGACTGATCCTCTCCAAGTAATTCAGCCTCAGAGACTTGAATGAACAGGTTTTTGCAACCTGAGTATTCTCCAACGGAACGACCAAAACGTCAGGACGTGTTCCTGGATTAAAATGAAGACTGAAGGACTGCGAGCTGAACCTGGCTACCTTCAGGAAGAAGTAAGTTCAGAAAATTATGACATTTCCGTTGAATCGACCATCAGTATTAAGGACGACGGTAGCTGCTCAGCTACCGCGGACATCGTTGTAAAACCAGCTGCGTCCAGCAACAATCTAACTAAGCCGTTCATGCCCAATGTTCTTACCGAGGAAGCGAACGTTAGTGAAGCCCACCAAGCAACGATGCACGCCAGTGAAAATGACGTCAAAAGCAACGCAGTAAGGCCCACAACAGGGACAAATGCAACGAGAAATACAGTTGACGCGAAGTTTAGGTGCTTATATGCGAATGCGCAATGCTGTATTGAAACCTGATGAGATAAAACGTTTCATTATCAAACCGCCTCTGGATGTTATAACAGTATACGAGGCCTGGTTGTCTAGAAGTCAAGTGAATCCCTGAGGGTCTTGATGAACCCTTAAAATACATGGCGAAACACGGTCTTAAGACATTCCAAATTTTGTTGAATGACGCTTAAGAACCCGGAGAGGTGGCTAAAACCTATGAGATCTTTAGTTCAAGGCCTCTAGTTGGAAGTAATTCAGAAGAGGTGCGACAAAGACCGCCGACAGTTGTGTTGGGAAACATGTAGCAGGCATATCTAATCTTTTGTCGTATATTCGGACTAAAAGACAATCATTTTTGACCGGATTTCTCTCCTATTGATCGAACGGAAAGTAGAACATTCGTAAAAGTACTAAAATTGCGTCAGAACGAGGGAAAAAACAAATCTGAAAGCAGAAGACAACAAAACCACAGAAATGGAGCGCACATTTCTAAGGGATCATCCGGTTAGATTGACGGTAACCATATAGGTCACTAGTACTATCAAACACTAGTAGATTTAAACCCAGGCAGTAGACTGGATGTCATTCGAAATATATAACTGTAATTGACAGGGAGAAGAGCCAACAAATAACTCCCAGAGATAAAGAGAACATAAAGATATGGCAATGATTTACACTAATGTTTAAAGTCCATTCAACCAAATGAATGAAATTAAACTGATTGCGGCCCACTTGCAACCTAATTTTCAGAAACATGGTCATTTGGGCAGACAGCAAACGCAGAAGTCACGATAAGCGGATTTCAGCTTGTCCGCATAGATTTAAACGGATGTAGACGGAACTCACAATGCGCATATGTGATGGCTTTATCTAAGTCACGGAATGGTCCTACCCAAAAAGAAGCAGTGGTTGAGAAATTCTGAGTTGTAAAATAAGAGTACTAAACCAAACGCACCTCCTAATTGTGCTTGCAGACGGCCCTCAAGGACAACAGAATAGCACGCACAATGCGCCCACAACTGAGGTAAACCAAGTCTGTCGCAACGAACCCGTAATACTTCTTGAAGATTTCAACTCTCAAGACATCAATAGGGACCCGATCCACCACATGCGATCGAAGGGTTTAGTCGAATAAAAATTTCTTCAGTTGGTCACTGGCGAATTCCTTATTTAGCACGTAACGATGGACAGCAGTAAGGCTGTTTGGACCATATAACTACTGGGGATGACTACGGCATCCCTGGTTTGACCTTTAATACGTCACTGAGAAGAAGTGATCACTTTGCTCTTGCTTGAAAGCATACTCATTTCTCTGCAACCAAAATTCAAGCAATGAAGGCAAGTAATGCATAAAAAGGGGTTTACTTCGAAATGAAATTACTAATAAGTGAGATAGACTGGAACCCTGCGCATTTATCTGACGCAAACGCTGCCTGGGTTTTCCTTAAAAACTCCATTAAATGCTTGGGAAATAAATGTTGTCCGCTTAAAGGGAGATCGTGCGTCTTGCGACCCGAGTCGTTAACATCGGAAATAAAAGGGAGTTTCAAAAAGAAAAAAACATGGAGGACGTATGCCGGATTCCAACGGTCCAATAATGTCTCGAAATCTAAGAAATAGTGAAATAGATGTCGGAATCTGTTGAGGAAACGAAGAGAGATATTTCAATAAGGAAAAGCCAAAGGAATGCCAGGGCGTCACTTGGCACTAATACACTTCCTGTAGATTGGAATCTGACACAAATATCTTCATCACACGAGGGCGGTAACAGGGCACCGACGACAAATTACAGATTCATGAGCTTGACATGTATTCTCAGTTAAATTGTGGGGAGGATCGAAAAGCTCGGTTTGGTGAATTTTCTAGAAGTTCACAACTGTCTGTCGAACTGCTAACACGTATTCCGGAAAGAAAGATCTTTCACGACAAATTTGCTGCCATCTCCCTAATACTGGACCGGAGCCCCGACGACAAGCATATGCTTTGCATTATTTTAATTGACATACAAAAGGCATTTGATATTGTGTCAAGCCAGGGACTGTTTTACAAGAGGGAAAGAGCAGGGATCGTGCGCAACTTCCTCACATGGATTGAAAACTTCCTCGTGGGCTGGCGTCAGATTGTATGCACCGGTCGAGAGAAATCGGATGCCGCTTTGGTCAAACTAAATCGGTTGAGTGAGTGGTCAAATGGTTGACTCGTATGCTTCAACATCGGTATGTATATTACATATTGACAGGCAACCCAGCCAGATGCGTGATCACTAGAGGCTACATGGACTGTGGTGCAGAATTGTGAGACGTAAAAAACCAAAAGGATCACTGTGTGCTGACGACGAACTTCCTAAGACCATCCACCCGTCGCTTGAGAGTAACAAAACCCCAATATCAGTATTAAACGTACTTTCTATGATAGGGCCCCGGGTCTTGAATAAAAACTATTATTATAACACTCTATCAAGTGAGGATTTGCTGATTTTGGCGCAAACCTCTTCTGTAGGATCGTGAAAACGCTCGTGCGGTTGCATTCGGAATATGGCATCCTAGCCTAGAGACTGTGGGTGGTCCAACGTCAAAATAATCTTGAAGTAGTTCAAAGGAGAGCAACGAATGCGACTAAGGGTCAAAGCTCCTTTTCTCATGCAAGCCGACTAACAAGTCTGAACCTCATTCGTTTGAATTACAGGTTGCCGCGCGACTTTCTCTTAAAAGCATTCGCAACTGTGGCAGGATTAGATTTCGACCGGGTATTTTAGAATTCTTTTGTATTTGCTACCTCGAACAACCTATGATATCGTCCATTACAGCTGCGCTTTCAGCACGCAACGCTGGAGGTGCGGAATTTCTTATTCTCTGTTAGGGCAGTCAAGTCATGGAATCCCCTGCACTCAGACACTGCAATGTTCCCATCGATGAAAAGCCTCAGAAAGAATCCTAGTAGATTTATGGTTCTGATTAAACAAGAATGATGAGAGATCGACGTCAACCCTTGGGACTCACCAACATTGTCACGCTATTGTGTCCAGTTTAAACTAATTCAGCCCACGCGACTTGTCCTTCCTTGATAAGCTGAACTTAACTGAGCTGAAATAAGCATCCTTGCCTTGCATTGTTACATCCCACTGTTAATATCCCATTGCGATCCTTCATTTACCTAAACAACTCAATGCTCGAAAAGGGACCTAGTGAGCGCTCACCCACCGATAAAGCGCCTAAACGTTATCCTTTTTTCGCAAATAAACTGCGCTACACGGATTTCAAACCTTAATCCTACCTTCCGCACATTGTAACCTTGAGCAGCACTTTGTTGCTTCACTACTGTAACGCACACATTCGAAAAGGATGGTCGAGGTATTGTCATGCTTACATGCTAGTATTTCTTCAGGCGGAAAAAAATTTGATGAAGGGTGTCGTTAAACCGGCTATTGATGATTCAGCCTTTGATGCTTTGAAAAGAGAGTACGACGATGTATGTTGCCTGGCCCCATGTTCAGGTTCTCATTAGGTCGTCAGAGAATTAAATAATAACCCTGAATTGGCAAAATTTCGAGAAGAATATGAAAAGATTATGAGAGCTCTAGAAAAATCCCACGAGAGCGAGAAAAGGTTAATGAGAAAATGCAGAGAGTTGAAAGCCGACATCGTTTCTAACAAAGTCAAGGTAACACAGGCGGAACAACTTACGAGCGATGATCCCAGCAACATGATCGCGCTCAAGAAAGAACTCGAAAAGGCTTGGGCCTTGGTTTCGGCTGCCAATGAAAAAGAGTGCAAGGCGAGGGACAGAATTAAAGGTTTGAAGGAAGAAATTGCCACATTGGGAAAGATTATTGAAACGGGTTCAGGCGGTGTTGTCGGCGCCGACACGTACGTTCTAAGCATTTGCTAACTAATGGTAACCCTTAAAAAACCTCTCCCGGCCTAGCATAGCTTTCACTTTTCTCAACTTCATACATCAGCTATGATCTTCGTTTGTCTGATACCAGACCTATGTTGGTGATTTACATACATGTAGCCAACCGATAATCCACAAAAGTCCTCGTACATAGCTTCATTTTGGCAATTTAGACCTTTCTTTTCAGACTGTTTTGCTCGAACACAGATAGGGGAGCTGGGCTCATAATTTCACTTTGTCAGCGACTAACGAATTGTAGCATTTAACGGAATACTGCACGATGTTTTTCGAATACAAAATCAGTTTCTTCCCCGAACTTAAAATTCCTTTAGTTATTTTACGTTATGGACAACTTAAAAGGCTTTGGCAAATGACCACTAAATAGCAATAAGCCAAGACGTCTTGATATCAAATAGGATCTAAAGTCAATCTTACATATTTTTATTGAATATGGTTCTTCAGTCATATTAAAATTGAGTTCTGCATTTTTTCGTTTTAAATCTCACTATTTCTCCTTAGCAAAGGTGCCTTACCAGTGGGTCACTTAAGCAGAATGCGCCAGTTAATAATTTTGCCTATTTTATGCAAAAACCAAACATATTCTCTCCCATGTCTAGTCTCTGCCCACAATATTTCTAGCTTCACTTCTCTGCTTTATCACGCTATCCTCACTTTACAACGGCCAAATACCCTTGCAAGCTCTTTTTCCATTTCCAATAATAATATTATGTCGGGCGTCAGAGTAGCAATGTTATAGATGACAGTTAACTTCATACTCCAGTATATGTTGAAATGCACAAACAATTCATTTCATGCCATCAATTTTCCTATCTCTTAAGCAAACTGGTTTACTTAACTTACTTTCAAAAGGCTAAACGAGCTTACAAAGGCAAAGGAAAAATTGACAAAGGAGGCAGCTGATCAGGCGGCCGAGAATATAAAGTTAAGAAAGGAACTTGAGGCTACTAAAACCCAGATTTCAAACCTTCAAGGTGAAATACTCAACGCTCAATCAAAAATTGGTGAACTAAGCCAAGACATACAGGTATTTTGTGCTGTTATTTACAGATTTTTCATTTATACCTCATTGTAATGGTCAGTGCACCTTACTTCTAACATGTAAATCGTTATAGAACTTAACGGCATCACTCCTAAAAAAATTTGGGGTGTCAGTGATTGTTTCTGTTAAGGCTCCATAAACACTATCCTTACCGTATTTCCCAACTCCTTATTATTTTTCATGCTTTGAAGTTAGGGCGGAGTTTATTGCGCTTGAAATCACTTAAGAATAAGGAAACACTATGCTGAAAAATTGATAACGTATCTAGTGACGACGGAAACCAGTTGATTTCCGCCTCTCATCTTATTCTACAGTCTGCATCGTGCAACATCGTGCTTGGTCTTTTAGTAATACGGCCGGATAATGTTGGCTTTGCAAGGTCTTTAGAGTTTTGGGTCGTTTTTGTGTATAACACATTCTTAGCCCTTTTCCAAAATTTTACTGCCATTGGGATTTCAAAAAAAACACAACTAGGTGTACAAAATTCGGGATGTCAACCACAACTGGACCTTGTTCCGTTTATTTCCAGCGAATTAACTTAAACTAAAATATTACTGCTGGTATTTTTTAGCCATTTATTTTACCACTTTTAAAGAGGTGTGGGTGTCAACTAAAAGACATTTATTGCATTCGAACGCCGCAGGTCTCGTTAATTTGTCCACTTTTCTCAAACCCACCGGACCAAAAGACCTTTTTGGGTTAGGTTTGAAAAGAAAAAGAGCAAGCGTTAACTTGTAATTAACGTTCGCTGCCACAGCGCCAGCACTAGGATTTTAAGAGAATTCCTGTGTTACAAACCTCCTTCTCCAGTATTTTCTCCTTTTTCTATGAATCCTGTCAGTTTCTAATTAATCATAACCTGATCGCGTATATGATTTGCCTAAAGTGACTAGTAAAACCAGTACGTGACCTGGATTTTCATTTCAAGTCAGGGAAAGAAAGCTGAGCAGATATAACCACTTATTTTACATAAATAGATTTAGTTTATTTAGGCAGTTTTTCGGAAAGTCTTATGCATAACCTCTTGTGCTAGATGCTGTCTCCGTGTAAGGTTAATCTTAATGTTAAACAAAGGTGGCCTAAAAGTTATCCCGGAGAAAACAATGGAACGCACATTGGCATGTTGTGTTTTTAGTATATCACACTTTCCAAAAATGTCATTATCTGTGTTCATGTCATAGGAACTGTTGTTTATCTGCGTAGAATTGCGTCAAATCCTTTGTTTCAATTATTCTATCATTCCCCTTCCATTAAAGCGGGGTGACTACCCTATTGACATAAGTAACCTCTGAGTACGCGTGCAAGTGTGTATGTACAAGTTGTATGTATGTATGTACAAGTTGCTTCTCTTCATCAGCATTTTTCAGAGTAGCAGTCGCTCAATTGACCGATGACCCAGTTGGCCTAAATCTACTGTGTTCATTAGCTGATTGTATGTCATTTTCAAAAATGTATGCAAATCATTGAAGGTAAACAGCTTTAACTCGTACCAGAGAATGAGCAGAAGTCTACGATGAGAGAGGCTCAAGAGGATGGTATTACAAATTGTATTCGCATATTCTATCGGTGTAAAAACCGCCGTGACTATTGTCATGGTTTGTGTATCTAGTGTCCAATTCTTTTTGTGATCTCTGGACGCATAGGAGTGCACTATGGGGCTGATGGTTAGAGAATTAACGAGAAACCGTAAAGAGCACTAGGCAGCGAGAGAGCTTGGGTCTACTGACAGACTAAGGCTGGAATCAGTGAAGAAGGTTATCTTCGGTATCCAATCAAGATATACTTAGACCTTCTCTTTTTGATGTAGTTTGCGCATTTTTATCGTTGTTCCCACAGCTTTCTGAAAACGAAGATGACGACTTTTCTAATGTATCATTTTGGACGTTTTAAATGACCTTAACTTCGGGCTGTTCAAGGGTATCGGCCAGAGCGAATGGGCTATTGTATTTTAGTTGACTCAGCAAAATACCCCGGTGGAGATTTTAGAAAATGGATCAAACTAATGCATTTTCGTCTTCTGAATGTGTTCTGCCTGTTTTTTGTCTTCTTCACTAAATATTGTTATTTTTCACATAGAAGTCGTAGCTCGACTAAAGCTGTGTATCACAATTTAGGCCTTCTATATGTTTTTTGCTTTTAATTTTGTAAAACAGTTTTTATTCAGGATTTTAACGGACTTCTGGTTCAATATGATCTAGGCACGAGCAGTGGATGCTCAGCGCGAACTCAGAAAGAAGGAACGGATGGAGCGGGAGATGAACGAGGTTCATGACGAAGTTGAGGCCAAAATGGAGGAGATCAAGGCCGTCAATACGACCATCGAAAAACTCCAGCAGGAACTACGAACCAGGGAAGAGGAGAACAGAGTGGTTAAAATATCCCTGGAGCAGACGAACCGTCAACTGCAAGTTACCGATGCCAAACTCAAGGACGCGCAACAAAAGTTGGATCAACAGATAGCCTTAACTGAAAGTGTGCGCAGCGAAAACCAACTTCTTACGGCTGACGTGAAGGCGAGTTGTTTTATCTATCCAACTTTGGATATAAAATCAGGGTTAAAGGCCAGCGCATTTGATATAGCATCTTCCACGAACCAATTGAATGATCAAGCGTCACCAACTAGCCGATTCAGGTCAATCCACTTGTCTTTGGATGAGGCCAGTTAGTCACGTTAGCATGAGGACGGACTCCGTGCTCCCCCGTTTGCAAATGAACACCCTTCAACGGCAATTGTAATGTGTGTCAGTAGTAGTCTCTTTTCGTCGAAACTTAACAGTTCACAGCATTAAAAACTCGACTTGAGATAGTTATGGATACTGGTGGATCACAGCGCATCGTCTTCCTTAAGAAAAGGAAACCTGTAAGCTCTATGTCATGGTAAACAAGATTTAGGTTTGAGATACATGTGATGTTTGCTATCACTGAATGACTTGGGGTCATTCGTGCTTATTGGCACAATAACACTGGATTAGTCCATCAAATATACACAAGCCATCAAGAATACTTTTGTTCTATTTTAAACTTTCGTAAATAAGAAGTACTGGTATCCTTAGGATCAAGTAATACTGTTTAGGTCAAACTACAACCAAACCCTAAGTGACATGAATGACCTGAAGAGATTTCTCGTTGCCAGTCCGAAAATCAAATTCGCCGTATATTCTTGAGTTAGTCTTGCATTTCTGTCGAGTTTTATGTCAGTGCAAAAAAGTGATGCATTTGGCATCCTGTGCGAATTTTTTTTTGCTCAGTCTGGCTTAAGTAGGAAAGCGATAAGACAGATGTTAACGCAAATGTACTCTATAACTCACATCTTAGGTAAGCTGGGAAGATTCTACAACTCTTGTAATATTGCAGCCCAAGGAAGCGATAAAAATATGGAGCTGTTTCATTACCATTTATGTCATTACCTTATCCTTTTTAACTCCTCCTTAAACTCCAAGACGTGAATGCAGCCTGTGGTTAGTGAGCGTCATTTATGGCATTCTTAACTGGACTTTATCTCTAGGGTGCAATCTTCAAACCGATTTATATTAGGCAGCAATAATCACATTACAGATACACTTGGACTTTCAATTTTGGCCCTGTATTCTCCGCTAAACAATTGATTGAAATGCCTTGGGCAAAAGATTTTTAAAGAACTGTTGCTTTATATTTTTTCAGAAAGTAACCGCCAACCAGTATGTAGGAAGACCTATAGGCGCAGGCCGAAATTTGATGTATGAATATTTTGGCTGAAGTCCATCAGCCACAGCTGGGCAACTGCGTAATGTTGACTAACTGCCGACTGTCGCAATCGAAGATTGCCTGCTTACTTTGACGCTGCTATAAAAATTCATGTATCCTCTTGCTGGTCTCCTTTTTAGCAAAGAGAGTCCGAGGTGGATGCCGTCAAAGCTGAGAACAATAAATTAACGAAACAACGCGAAGCTGCCAGTCGCCGTTTGCGCTCAATTGAGGACAAAAAAGGTGAACTGGAGAGCAAGCGTGAGGAACTGCGCAACGGCATCGCTTCCATCGAGAAAGAGATGGAAATGATGAAGAGAGCCATGGACATTGACCGCAAGGCCTGTGAGGAACTGACTAAGGAGCGCGACGCCTTGTCAAAGAACCTTGTCAAAATGAGTGGTCAGACAGCAAAACAACTCACTCTCTTGCGCCTGCATGAGCAGTCGAAACGTAATCTCGAACAGGAGATTTCTAATTACAAGGATGAGGCCCAAAAGCAGCGCAAGATTATTTGCCATTTGGAACGTGAGCGAGATCGTTACATCAGCGAAGCTTCTGACCTCACGCAAAAGGTCCTCGAACATATGGAGGAGGTGAAACTCCGTGAGATGCAGATTTTTGATTTTAAAAAGAAAATTGCCGAAGCTGAAACGAAACTCAAGCAGCAGCAGAATCTTTATGAAGCTGTGCGGGGCGATCGAAATCTCTACAGCAAGAACCTCATTGAGGCTCAGGATGAGATTGCCGAGATGAAACGTAAACTACGCATAATGACACATCAGATTGCCCAATTAAAAGACGAGATTTCCACCAAGGATGCCATCATTGTACAAGAAAATATAGAACGCCAGAGAGTGGAGGCTGAACGCGATAATATGAATATGGACTTGCAAAACATCAAGAACACCATGGTGGAAAACCGCGCCTACATTGAATCTCAAGAGGCAGAGGAGCGCAAACTACTAAAAATAATTTCGGAGGCCGAGTTTGAGCGCGCTCGTCATAAAAAGGAACTGGACCAAGTTATAAGCGAGCGTGACATCCTCGGCACCCAGTTGGTGCGTCGAAACGACGAGTTGGCCCTGCTCTACGAAAAGATTCGCATCCAGCAGTCTATTTTAAACCAAGGTGAGACGCAGTATAACCAACGTCTGGAGGATCTTCGTGTGTTGAAACTGGAAATTCGCAAAAGCAGACGGGAGAAGGCCATGTTGCAGGCGAGTATAGCAAAGGTGGACGATCTGAAGAAAGAAGTCTACCGAGCTCAAAAGGAACTTCTGCGTGAACAAACTCGATGCAAGGCGCTGGAGGAGGAACTGCAGAATCCAATTAATGTGCACCGTTGGCGTAAGCTAGAGGTATTTCTTATGTCGAAAGTGTCCTTGTCGATCTTTAATGTGGAGTTTTTTTCTTTTTTACAAGTTATTTCTCCTTTAGTGTCTTTTTCTGCGTTTACGAGTTTCTGAGTAGACTCCCAGTCTGAATGTTCATCAGGATAACTCGGGAAGCCAACATGAAAGATCTAGGATGCGTTCCTTTAATAATGCTTCTATCCAAAGATCCTATCTTATCGCTGGTAACGCAGTTGTCTCATATAGGCTAAAAGGGTAATTCAATAACCTCTGCACCATCTCACTCCTCCAATACTAATCCCTTTCGGACCTAGTATAATTTGATTCTCTAGTAAGGGTGAAGTCTTATCTCCGAGGTAAGTCCTAAAATCATCTTACTCTGCCGGTTTTCCTTATACAGAGCTCTGTTTTTCACAGTCTTACCGTAGCATCGTAATGACTGACATTTTGCCTCTAGAGACACCTAAAAACCAATCTCTTCGCATTTGCATCCCGATGTTATTGAAGGTGTTTTCACGCATTTGGCGACTGTTAGTGGAAGAGTTGGGAAGTGCACCGTTCTCTTAAGTCATTGCTTTAGTTCTTTTTGCTTGTTTATTTTTGCACGCGACGATTTCGAAAAAATTCAAGTTTTGCTTATTTGGTATTATCTTTGACTGCAAAAGGCTCCTTGATGGATGGCTGTCTACCTCTTGACCTCCTAACTTGTTTGAATGACGCACATCGTTCTTGTTAATATTAAGGTGACTATGACTACTTCAAGGCAATTTCTAATACATAGGGTTTAGTGTACTGGGTAACGCTTTTCCCTTTTTTGAAGCTGTTTCCTTATTGAAAATGAGATATCTTTGCTCTTACGTCTCGGGCGTAATGTTACTTTAATAACCCTTGAATTCAGCCATTGTCTATTAAGTAGCTACTATGTAAATGTTTGCAGCAGTTTATTGACATTTCTGTGTAGAATTTATGTTTCTTATTCGCTCACCATGGAGCCGGCCGAGAAAATAATTAATGACATTTATTTTTACCGGCAAAATTTGCTTTTGAATAAGCTTATCACCTTATTTGCCACCTAGATTTATTATCTAGAAGATTGGCGGAAGTTTGATTTCCTGCCCGAGGTATATGCGTTTTTTGCGTTTATTTGGTTTTCTCTGTTTTACTCTTCCCGTTCCTTGCTTTCTTTCGCTCCTGACGCACAGCACCGTAGATTCCTTTTCTTCTGACTAGGGCAGCGATCCATCTACCTTTGAAATGCTCCAAAAAATCCAAGCGCTTCAGAAACGTCTTATTGCCAAGACTGAGGAGGTAGTTGAGAAGGAGATTCAGATTCAAGAAAAGGAGAAGCTTTATGTTGAGTTGAAGCGTATACTAGCCCGCCAACCTGGTCCAGAGGTGGCGGAACAGTTGAGCATATATCAAGACAGCCTCAGAGGAAAGACTAAAACACTGAAGGTAAGACTACCTCTTCACGACTAAGTGTTGCATTATATATGAAGTCCTGTGTTTTTATCTCAACCACTTCTTTGCAGTTTTTTGCCGTTAGCGAAAAGAAAAAGTTTCAAAGGGACATTTACCCTTGTCCGATCATTCTTTGAGGTTGCTTACCGAGAGCAGCACGTTTCAGACCACCTTCCGCTCGGACTGACGATGCTTTCAAGAAAAAGCCGTGCTTTACAAGCCTCGCAATGAGGAGGCAGGAATGTTTAATGGTCAACCTAAATGATGTTCGCTCACCTACTCGAAGTGTTCGAGTTCAAAAATGGATGACGCCAAGGCGCAACTCTGACCACAGCGCAAGCGAACAAGTAGGGGGACGAGGCTCGGAAACGCGGCCTCCCGTAGCCAACTATTTATTACTTCGCTACTAGTAATAATTTCAGTAGGTGTGCTGCAGTTAGCACACCTAGGTTCAGATTGGCAAAGTTGAGCGATCCGGGTTGGTGATTTGAAGACGAAGATGGGCTCTCCGGAGGTTTACGGTTATGATCAGGGCTGGGAATTAGGGGTTACTTGATTGGGGTTAGGATTAGGGGATTATGATCAGGGCAAGGGGACTAGGCTTAGGGTTACAGTTCGAGTAGGGGTTAATTGTCAGCGTTCGGTTTGGGGTTAACTTGATCACTTACACTTACTGTCAGTGACGGCTCCCGCGATTTATTCTAACCGTTAGGAGTTAGGCTTGCTTTTAAGCTAGGCTTAATGTAGAGTTTGCGTGCTTTTCAACTAGACTTCCGTTTCTGTTTTTGGAGATATGATTTACCACCAACCTTGCACCCATTTCCTACAACTCTCATCTGCGGCTTCCGTCTGATTGGTCACCTACTTGGACAGTTCAGTTTTGATGCCGTTGACAGGCCAGTCACCATTACTCATACTGGATTTTGTTTCATTGGTTACTCATGACGATTTTTTGCATTGTGCGCTGCTTACGCTGAGATTTTAGTATCCATCAAAGCAAGGTAACACATTTACTTTTAATAAACCCGTTTTTCTCTTAGTTTTCGCGCATTTTTCGGTGTTCTGTCGTAGTCCCACCCTTAAAATCCCTAGTACCACGGTTCCCGTTTTGGAGGCGTCTGGGCTTCTCCATTTTCCATTGTGGCCGCGTTTTCAGCCTTGCCGTAGAGGCTGTATGACTTAGGCCTGTCGTTTACCTGTCTTTACAAAAAAAGTAAAAAATTAATCAGCTAGTTATGTTTTTAGAATTCGTGTGCGCAAATCTTCTTACTAAAAATTGGATTGTCTGCTTCCCCGCGTCTTCCTTCAAATAATCTTTAGTGCGAAATTACTGCTGAAGAATTAAAATGACACTACTTACGGCACTTTCAAGCATTAGCCGAGATGTTGAATGTAGTCCTCAAGCTTCTGTGTATGAATCCAAATATCGCTTTCTTTTGATGTTGCTTCTTGTTAAATTAGCTGTCTTTCCCAAAGAAGTAAATTATTTTGCTTCTTGGCCGGCTAAATTGATCTGCTACACTTTCCCGTTGCTTTAATAAAAGCTTGGCTGTGGTGATCAGATTTTGGGGCTTATTTCTCTGAGTAACTTAGCATATCTATCAATCTTGCGGCTTTAACAAAACCCGAAAATCGTATCTTATCATAAAACAGCTTTCATTGTTAATTTTCTTGAAAGTTACTAGTTCTGTGAGTGAGATTTTGGAAATAACTTTACGAAAAAGTGGTCATTTGAAACGGTTTTTAAACTCCTTTTGATAGTTTTGGGCTAATGTTTCATCATTGTTGAAAATTGCTTAAGGCATTTACGGGTTAATATAACATGCCGCACTATAATTGGTCTAGGCTGGTATTAAGCGTCCACGTCGTAACATAAGTGTTGAGCATTGAACATAATTATATACAGTTATGGTCATCATTTTTGATTTGCGGACCTATCGGAAATGCGCAAAAAATAATCAAAATCCGGCCTGTCCCTCCTAGTGGGATTACATGGAAATGCGACTGACTTCCCTATGACGCCGTAGGCCTTGCACTCCTAGCTTACCCGTACCTCTGCCAATTTTGCCTTTTTGTAAAGACTTTTTGCCTTTTTTATAGCCTGAGGCCTGGTACGCGTTTTGCCAATAATCTTACCCAATATTTTCCATGATTTTCCCAGGAAAAGGTTTAGTCCACTTCAAGATGATTGTCTCCTTGAGCGGAGTTACTATTTTGACTTTCAAAATTCCGCACTTTGGAAACAGTCTGGAATGTTGACTCACAAGCGTGTATAAAGAAATATCCTCAGGCATAGGGACAGCCCCCTTCAATTATGTCAGTCATTCTAGGCGTCCGCGACTCTTTTTTCGAATCCGCACGCGTTTCTCTATTGCAAAAGGAAATTGGATATAGAATGTGCCCTCGGGTGCATCTGCGCCAGCCTCGTGTTAACAGTAATAATGCAGAACCACGAGTAATATTTTTCGGTCGGATGTAGTTTTGTAGCCCCACCTGAAGTAAACAACCTCCAGTCACCTCTAATACGGGACCGCCGGTAATATGGGTTTTTACAAGTGGAGACGGGGAACGTACAGGCGACGAGGTCAAGTAGTTGTATGCAAAAGAGAAGTTATTGGCAATGAGCGGCTGTGCTTTGAATGGTTAAGAAATAGTTGCGCTAACTCCTAACTATAACCCCTAATCCAAAACTCTAACCCCTAACAATAGCCCCTTACCCTAATTCCTACCTATTTTTCAAAACAAAAAATAACTAATGCTTCTTATTCTTCTGGGTAGGTCGCACCTTCATATAAATCAGCTAGTAGAAATTAGTGTTTGGTCAGTTGCTTGCTGGGAAATGGACGCACGACATAGTAAACGTCAAAAAACAATCAGAGCCTCCTCCTCCTCCCCGCAGTTGACCGGTAATTCCATCACCAGAAAATTGGCTGTCACGGTGTACGAATTACCTGCAGACTTTTGCAGTGCTTATGAGTCAGTTGCACCTTCCGGTTGCATGTAGGGGCATTTAAGTTGTCCTGCTATTCACAAGGGAGATCCACACAGGAGAATGGTGGTTGTGGTCTGCATGGTCTCAATAGTAATAGTAACACTCATGAGCACGGCAGAAGGATGCGCAGTGTCTGAGGAGGCTGAGAGCTGGTTTGATGAGGACCTTTCCAGCAACTGATCATCCCAGTCAGTTGTGCATCAGAGGACGGCAGTGCAAGGGATGCTGTCAGTTAATCAAAATTTCGTACGTTTTCATCCTAAGAACCAATAAAAGATAGAACTTTTAAGAAGACGTTTTATTCACTAAAGGTTATTCATTATGCACAATTTTCGCTCTTTCCCAACGAGGGACATGTTCGTAAATTCTGCTTTTTAGAAAGTGATGTCTTCGGAAACGAAAAATCCACTACCCTCCTCTTCTCTTTATTGTCACTGTGTCTGTTTGGCATTAGATTTTCTAGCACCAAGGAATGGCGGTAATTGGTGAGAAGCACCATGGGGAGATTTGAGAGATGGGATAAAAGTTCCCACCGTCTGATTATGAAGCGCATCTTTAAGGCGTCATCTAATGAAAACCAATGAGAGGTTCGGCTTTTTATAACATAATAGAGGTTTAGTTCTTCGTCACAAGAAAAAAAACAGAAAACTGTGTTGTGCATGCGGGAAAGTAAATGAAAACGAATTGCTAGTGTGTTTGGTTTATTCTAATCTGTTAATATTTGCGGAACCCATTCTTTGGATTTCTATACAATGTTAATGTAGACGGACTACTTCGTAGCTCGACTTTAATATTTTAGAGAGTTCTTGAGACATTGTTTTTGAAATCTTCCACCAGCGCCTCGTAACTCTTCGTGATCAGTAATGAAGGGTAGTTCCGATTATGTTGAATCTTTGGGGTATTCATTACCAGAGGACATTTTAGGGCACTTTACTCTTTTAGCACATCTACCGCAAATGTCCCGCATGCAGACTTCGTCCGAAGTGTATATTCAGGGAGAAAACGTGTTTCAATTACGGTCGACTCAATGAGCATTTTAAAATGGGAGAAAATTGCAAAACAAGAGACAATGTCATTGAAAAGAGCTTTACTCGACTGACACATGCCTGCTCTGTATGAAGCACATAAAAACGCCGACCTGGCAAGTCTAGCCAGGATTCGACAAGTCATTGCATCAAACTATTGCGGAATCCGCGCGAACTTTGTCGTCGCTCGATGAAATCTGCCTCATCTCTGATCAAACGTTGCTCATTGCCAGCATATGTATTCATCCAGCGTCTGTGACGAGGAAGTTTATCGCTCGAAGGCATCAGTAATTCGTCTTGACAGTCGCATGACACGCGATGCGGTTTCTCGAACCGTTGCAGTGTAGGATCAAGGAAGGTGTGACTAGCTGTCGGGAGAAGTGGATCCAGAAGGAATGTGTTTCCCGCCAATGTCTATTGTCCTTGTGGTAAATTTCAGTCGTGTCGTATACCAAGCTTACACGTTTTAATTCCGGACTCACATCGATTCCCCAGGCGGTAGCATAAACGAGTGTTACGTTTCAACAAATTTTGAGCCTAAACAGGTCAAGACATAAAATATACACGCACCTGACTAGAAGCTCATCTTATGCACTTGAAAATGCCGCTGGCGCGCAGGCGCTGTAGTTAGCAGCTCACACTAATTTGTCGGCGAATTAGCTAAAGGCCTTTTTTGTTGTACATAGATATGGTGTTCTGCATATTCCCCTCTGACAGGGATGTTTCACTGAAGCTGTTAGCACTTTTTGATAACTCTGAACACCCCATAACTATATATTAAAGTTGTAGACTTATGCATTTTGTAATTCTGGCAAAAGTGCACCGGATGTGTCGTATACTGACTAATTTGACGCATAAGTTAGCTATGTGACCTTTAAAAAAGTCATATCCTGACCTCGAGTTGAGTCGAGTTCACGATTGTTGACAACAAGGAAGACGCCTCCAACCTACTTTGCCTGATGAATAATCTGCATCCTAAAATCGAATTTACGATGAAAATGAAGCAGTTTGACAAGTTATCCTTCCTGGACGTCCTCATGTTTAGAGAGGATGATGGTTCAATAAGACGCTCCGTCTTCCACAAGATTACGTGGAAAGGGCAATACTTACATTTTAAAAGCTTTGCGCCAATACAATGGAAACGTAATCTAGTACATATTCTTTTTTAAAGAGCGAGAAATGTTTGCTCCAGGGAGACCATAGATACAGAAACTGCCCGAATCAAAGAAACCTTACTTAATCGTGGTTATCCTGCACGCTTCATTCAGAAGTACAGCAATCATTTACGGCCAAAGTTGACGGAACAGTCCGTTCCAAAGAAGCCCGTTATAATATGTCTACCTTTTAAGGGTGACAACGTCTCAAACACAATCAAGCGACGCTTGCGTTGCACTTTAGAAAGAACGTACAACGCAGCAGAGCTTATCTTCATCAGTTTCACAAAAAGCCTTCCAATTAACCGGACAAAGGATGCCTTGCCAATGCACGCCACCCCAAATTGTGTGTATGAATTCACGTGCACTTGCTGATGCAAGTACATTGGGCGAACGCAAAGGCAATTGGCAACGAGGGCCGCTGAGCATTTGCCTAATTGGCTTTTCAAACAGGAAAACAAAACCCCCGTTCGTCTATAACGAAACACCTGTTAGATAGCGGTCATGTTGTCGATCCTAAAGCATCTTTTCGAGTACTTGTCCGAGCGCATACAACTCGAACCTTGCGATATTTGCAAGCAGCTTACATACGGAGGGAGAAACCAGACCTGTGCAAGCATTTAGATCACGTGATCAATCTGCACTTGCCCTGGTAACCTTCACGCCTCTAATTTCCCCTGACTGTGATTTGTTGTTAACATTTCGTCTCCCTCTTTCCTATATGACGCTAATGTGGACGTCTTATCTTATTATTCATTGCCTTGAACCTTGACCTTGCTCCTATGCACTGCCATTCTGTACAAATTCATACTGCTGTGCGCTTTCATTCGTTACCTATGTTATGCAGAGATGGGCTGCAGTTGAAAAGCCTTCAAGAAATTTATTGGCCCCAATAAATTCTGCTGTACGTGCTTGTTTTCAAAAAATGAATTGTCTATCAAAACATCATTTTGTTGGCATCCCGTCTAGCCATACCAATTCAGGTTTTCACGTTTTTTCGTCTGCACGCTAAAGGGATCATTAAATTTATCGTGTTTTTTCGCTTTTGAAATGGATTTTGTCGTTTACTTGTTGTAGTCAAAGTGACTGTTTAAGTATTTTGCCAGAAATATTTTTGAGCGTTTCTAGGCCCTCATATGTCGACGAGGTTTTGTCTTTTTCAGTTGTTGGTATAAATGCGGGTTCTTATTTTCTATTCCGTAGGCTATGAACGCAGAAATGAACATGTATGATACACAAATTAAAGAGTACAAAGCCGAAATTGAAAAGCTAACAGCAGAACTGAATGACGTCAAAAGGGCGTATTTTGAGAAGAAGAGGCTCGAGCAAAATAAAAAGAGGAAACCAGCCAAGGATACGTTGGTCGCAAATACGAATGAAAAGGCCAATTCTAGAGGTCTTAGTGGCGCCGAGTTGACTTTCAAGGCCTCGAACGCAAATAATTAATAGTGTTGCTCTTCTCAGCTACCAAGTAAAAACTGTTGAACAAAATTCCCGCAACTGTGTTCTGTGTAATTTACTTGTAAACATGAGAAAATTGGCATTGCTACAGCTTCTGCGGCCCCTTAGTCGAGGGTAGCAACGAACACACAACATCTTGTTAATTTGTTCCTTTTGAATTTTAAGAAGGCTCTCTCTCTACTTGGGTGTGAAATTAAACGGTAAAGGCGGTGGGAGGTATCCGAAAATCTATGAGCGGCCAAATCTGTGAGGACATATTGTCCGATAATGACTCGGATATCATCAAATGCGAACTGTGTCGGCTGCTTTCGACAGCTCTGGTCATATATATGCGACCTTTAACAACTTGCAGGGTTGCTGGTGTGATGATGACAAAGTGTCCCCAAGAACATGACAGGCTCAGAAGTTACCAACAGAGGAGAGTAGGAAGCATAAGCTCTATAGTCGATCAGCAGTCCTGTCCGATAGAAAA